TGGGGTGATCCTATGGCTAAAAATGGAAGGAGATGGCACCTAATATTTTGTAGGACTGAGATTTGGGCGCCTAGAAATGGAGGGTGTAGATTAGAACATCTAGGGTTGAAGGGTTAAGATTAAAAGAATATGTGGTGCTCTACATTGAATGGTTGGGATATAGGATGGGGAGACTGGCTGAGATTTAATGGTGAGGATTAGTAGAATAGGTGGCATCCTAGGGTTTAGAAGCTACAAAGGAGAGCCCTAAAATGGATGGTGGAGATTAGAAGTAGTGAATGATGGAGATTTCACATCTGGGGTGGCTAGTGTTAGCTAAGGAGGAAAAGATTAGATTAAAAAGGCTCCCTAGGATTTGCTAATGAGAGGGGAGCATGGTAATACAGTAGGATGGGCGTCAATTGGGTTTAGCAAATAGGAGGCGCCTTCCTTTTCTCAGATCTTTACAAAAACACCCATCTTTCAGCTGGACTTCACACCAGCTTCCCAAAAACTGCATTTCAGCCATGAAAACTTCCCTATTTTTTACATAATTTGCACATAGACCCTTAGAGTTCACATAATTGATTTTAATTGGGAAAACATTGCACTTTGACTATTCTAATGCCGAAAATGCCCCTGAATTGATGCCCTTAAGGCATTAAAATGAAGGGTTATCAATGACAATCGAGTTCTGGGTTGATGGCAGCTTCACAAGTATGATTCAGTCGTCTGCTCTGTGGAAATGAGGTAGCAGAGGAGATAGGGAAAGGAAAGGAAGTAGACACTGAAGCCGAATCCCTTGCTTAGAGGTGTTCAATTGATAATAGTTGTAGAAGACAAGGGAGGAGTCGAATAAAAAGAAAATAGAAGACGAGGGGGAAGGAATAAAGAGAACAAAGTGAAAGGGGACGACGACTATGTCATCTCTGGCGGTGTTCTCTATTCAGGTCTGATACGGCAGGGCGGGGCGACGTCCTCTGTTTAGGTCTTCATCATTCGTTGAAGATAATGAACAATAAACCTTCTAGTATTCGCTTTTTCCCTCTTCGTTTCTTGATCTCTAATCTTTGTCTTTCTTCGAGCTATCGCCATTGGGTTCCTTAGTGGAGAGAGAGTTTCAGGAAGGCTGAGTTGTAGCTTAGGAACTTCACCGCTGATCAAGACTAGTTTAGATAAAGGGATTTAATTTGTAAAAGGGTAAAATAGGTATTTAAAAAGATCTTATCATTAGTTTAATGTTGTATTTTACCCAAAAATACATTAGTTTAGATCAGGGGAGGATTTTGTATTTTACCCAAAAATTAATGTTGATGGGGCAGTTGGGACTTGGAATTTTGGAATTGGTATCATCATGCAAGACCATCATGGCTCTCTTATTTTTTCACACTCTATTTGTCTTACACTTGCTAAATCTGAGATTATGGAGGCCAAAGCATTTAGAGCAGGTTTACAGATGGCAAAAGACTTGTGTCTTTCTCACATTATCATTGAAGAAAACACACAAAAGATTGTACTTTCCTTGTCGAACCCTCTCGTTGAGGCTCCTTGGTGGTTGCATACCATCATCGCAGATTGCAAGGAACTTTTGTGCTCATTTACTTCATCCCTTGTCTCCTTTTATCCCACGTATAGGTAATTGTGTGGCCCATACTTTAGCCAAAATGGAGTGTAATATCTCTAGATCTTTGACTTGGTCTAGACCTTCTGAATTTCTCAAGCCTGTACTTATGAATGACTTGTTGCAATGAATTAGCCTACCGGCTTTTCTCTCAAAAAAAATTCTATTATAGAGTATATTTAGAAAAATTGAAATAATTCAGATCATAGACCTGTACTTAGGGGGCGTTTGATTGCACTTTTCAGATGTCTAAATCTGAAAACATTGCTTTTCAGGCTTCACACTTGTTTGGTTTCTCCTCTTAAACTTGATCTGAATCTTATTTTCAGACCTGAAAACTATAGAGATTGGGCCGGCTCTTAATGCGCTCAGATGCGTTTCAGAGCTGGTGCATAGTCGAAGCTGCCCTTGCAATATTTTGGAAATGACGTGCACTATCCCTAATAACCCCAAACCCAAAAAACAAAGTCATTTTCATGTTTTCTCAGGAAGGAAGCACCGCTGGTGAATCCAAGCTCCAGGTAGTCATTCTTCTTCTTCTTCTTCTTCTTCAAACGAAGATGTCTTCTTCTTTATTTTGTTGTTTATGTGTTTAAATAATTTTGCTTTGGTGATAATAATCTGATTCGTTTGATTTGTTTTTGTTTGATTTATTTATGTTTTTCTGGAAGATGAACTATTGTTTTTTTTTTTTTTTTGCTTTGGTGGTGTTGGGAAGATTGCTTTGTTGAACGAAGGATTATTGAGGGTTTTTTTCCTCTTTGCTTTGGTGGTTTTTTCCTCTTCTACATGTGAAGTGGACAAATGAATGACCCCAAAGTCTTGGATAGGGTATCTTCTATCCTAAATGTGTTTGACAATAGGCCGAAGAGAAGAGTACAAAAGATGTGTTATAGCTCATCCTCTGAACCCCTAGTTCCTCCACTGATGGATGCGTTACAACCTCCAACAAGTCTTGGATTTCCAGTGTTTCAAGTTCATTAACTTTTGGCAGTAGTGTCAAACTATTGCTTATCTGATGGCCGGAGGAGTTCCCTTGGTCAATCATTTCTACCTTTGGTAGAGTGGAACAATATGGCAGTGATTGGTAGAGTGGAAGGACTCCCTCTGTTTTGAGAACTTGTATATGATCTATATAGCTCATATTGATCATCTTTTTACTGTATAGCATATATTGCTTGTCCCCTTCTCTCTTGAGGGTTTCTTTTTTTTTTTTTTTTTTTTTTTTTTTTTATGAAAGATGTCTTGTATCAAAAAAAATTACTTGCATTTTGGATCCACCTAAGTAGTGGAAGAAGATGCAACCGAATCGTTATTTAATTGTTAAATATCTTATTTTTATTAATTAAACATGGAATTTATTCATATTTTAATCATATTAATATTTTTTAGTAATTATTATTTATTTTATTATTTTATTCGTGTTATTTCAGTATTATTAATACTTAAATAATTAATTATTAATTTTATTGATTTATTTATTTATTAATTTATTGATTAGTTTAATTTTTATTATTTTTTTNTTTTTTGTATCTAGCAGGAGCTTCTCTCATTGGCTGAAGTTTTTCTGATGCAATTTGCTTTTGGATTTGAAATCTTTGTAATATAACCGGGGGTAGTAATGGTTGTCTTTTAAGTCTTTCAATGTGACAAGTTTTCGAGGTTTATTTGAATTACATTCTAAATATATTAATTCGTTTAGCATTTGCATTTTGGATCCACCTAAGTAGTGGAAGAAGATGCAACCGAATCGTTATTTAATTGTTAAATATCTTATTTTTATAAATTAAACATGGAATTTATTCATATTTTTAATCATATTTATATTTTATATTAGTGATTAATTATTTTTATTAATTTTTCTTGTGTTATTTGTAATGATTAAATTTTTTAATAATTATTTATTTTATTATTTTTATTCATGTTGGATCAGTATTATTAATATTAAATAATTAATTATTTAGTTTTTATTAAAATTTAATCATATTAATATTTTTCGTTGGAGATTAATTATTTTTATTGTGTTATTTATAATTATTATTTAATTAATAATTATTTTTAGTAATTATTATTTTTATTCGTGTTATTTCAGTATTATTAATAATTAAATGATTATTAATTATATTAATTATTTATGCTATATTAAATTTTAATCATATTAGCATTTTTTGTTAGTGATTAATTAGTTTTTATTGTGCTACTAATTATTTTTAGTAATTATTAATTATTTTTATTCGTGGTATTTCAGTATTATTAATAATTAAATAATTAAATCTTAATTTTATTAATTATTTACTTTTAATTAAATTTTAAGCATATTAATGTTTTTTATTAGTGATTAATTATTTTTATTGTGTTATTTATAATTATTAATTATTTTTGTTCGTGTTATTTCAGTATTATTAATAATTAATTATTAATTTTTATTAAATTTTAATCATATTAATATTTTTTATTAGTGATTAATTATTTTTATTGTGTTATTTATGATTATTAATTAATTATGAATTATTTTTATTCATGTTATTGCAGTATTATTAATAATTAAGTAATTAATTATTAATTTTATTAATATTTTGTTTATGGTGAATTATTTTTATTCCTACTGTTTTAGTGTTATTAATAATTAAATAATTATTGATTATTTTTATTAATTTTTTTGTATAATTTCAATATTATTCTGAATTTGATAAGTTATTTTATATGAAATATTGTTAATTGCTTTCAAAATTACAAAATAGCCTGTTACAGACAGGGGTAAAATAGTAAAACAAAGCAATTTAAGATGTTGTACAATTTATCCAACACAAACAACGTTATTTATTCAAATTCTCTAAACAATAGAAAAACATGTATGCCTCTTTTTAGATTTCAGACAGTTTTAATTTTTCAGATTTATGAAACGCCAGTGTCTTGTAAGTCAAAGATGAAACGGCAGCAACAATGCCAATAAATAAATAACAAAAAAAAAAAAAATGTATTTTGTGAAAATACGTCGCTGAAAACGACCATCATACCAGACACCTTCTATAAAAAGGAAAGAATTATATTAGAGATATTAACCGGATGCATGTGCATGAGGAGTCACAGAAGTAACTAGTACATCGAATTCGAACACCGTCCATCTTAAATAGAGGTTATATCAATTTAGTGATGTAAGCACTTCAAATTTGATCGCTGAATCGGTGAGACCAAGTGAATAAGGTGGGCCACGAATCGGTGGATTTGATTTTCCTTTCGCACACGCAAGGACATCTGGAAATGGCAAGGGGGGATGGAGGCGTAGACGGACACGAAAGAAGAGGACGAAAGATCTATATATATAGTATGGATTATGGAACCCAAATCATCATCATCATCATCATTTGACTGGCTACATCCGGTAAAACCCTAGTGCCAATTCCGTAATTACCGGTCGAACTGGTTTTCCTTTATCTCTTACCGAGAATACGGTATAAAATGCTTTTGTCTGTGCAGCAGCTGACCCAGACAGTTTTCGTCGCCTGAACTTCGTCGGAGAACCCCGAAAAACTTTTTTTTCCATTTTATTCCTCGCCGGAGATTTTCCGACGATACCGTAGTCGTAGGTAATCTACTGATAAATCACGCTTTTTATTAGTTTATTGTGGATTGGATCTGTAGAAGTCGTAGATTTTAATCTATTCTATGTATCGATTGATGTTCTCAATGATTTCTGTTTATATCAGTCGATTCGATTTTGTTTCCTTTTTGACTTTTTGGTTTTTGGCGATAATTAAATCTTTATGTGTTTGGTTTGATGCAGATATTCATTAATATGAATTAATTCTGCTTATAGGCGGGTTGGTTAGGGTTTGATTTGGTTTGCCTTGACTTGTTTCATAAATCGTGGTTTGAAGTAACTTTATCGAATCAGGTGTTGGAAGTTTTTATTTTTATTTTTGTGAAAATAGTTCATCTGTCGTCAATTTATTTCTGTAAACGAACTCAGTTATTTGCGGTCTGTTGAAAGTATTTGAGTATTGATTTATTTGATTGTTCTTCTGTTGTCTACTTGCCAAAAGATAAAAAAATGACACTTGACAAAGAAAATATACTCACTGATTATTTAGTAGACTTAATTTGCGTGTTGTATTTTAGTAATTCATAATTGAGTTCATCGGTTATGCTATTGTAAGGTGGTTATTGTGATTGAATTAATTTGGTTATACTTTCCGAGAAATATTCATAGTTGAAACTCAATTGTCTTAACTTTTATTAAGTCATTAAAAATTTAATATAGTGTTACTAATTTGGTTTGGTTTGTGAGAATTTCAAATTTTGGTTTATGGTTTCAGTTCTGTTTTCTGAATTTTAGTAAGTGGTTTATGTATGAGAAAATCTATGATCTATGCTGCCCCATGAATTTTGATAAATACCACTTGATTGGCAACCACTTTTATGATACTGGTTGATCGGTTACAAATTTTTCCAGTATGATGCCTTTCTGGTATCATAGTCAAACCCATTATGTATATTTGGTAATTTGTGAATTTAATTTATATGACAGTAATAGGTGGTACTTGTTAACATTTCAATTTGATATTTGAATTAGATTTGTTACTTAGCAATTGCGTATGTTATTTGGGCTTTTTAATTGGGTTAAGTCCAATAGAATGGCCTGAACCATATTAGAAACCACAAACCAGACATTTGGTCTGAGAATTTCTCAGACTGTAATTTACTGGTTTGGTTTGAGATATTCTCCAAACCAAACTGAATTGGACTATGAACACCCCCTATACATTTATTTCAAGTCACCATTTTCATGCCTTTCAGCAAGATCTTCCATAAAATAGTAAATCTTCTATTTCTAAGTTCTGTAAATTTTCCCTAAAAATAAATTAGTAGCCGCTTTCAACTGACAAGAAGTTTTAATGGGACTAGATATGCTAAATTGGTAATTGTTAACGTCCCTCTTCTTCTCTTGAAACTCTGCAAGCACATTTGTCATGACATTATATAACCATCTTATACTTTATGGGAAAGAAAAAGGGAAAAAATGCTAATTAGATGGTTACCTCAATGAAAGCTACTCATCAACTGTTGAGGTAAGAATTAAGATACAATGGGTTTTCATTCAAGACAAGGTCAGAGATAGTAAAATGATTGTAATTGCTTCTCAAATGGGGGTTAATCCAGTCCAGGATGATCTAACAAGGGGGCAAATGAATATGGTTGTTTATTACATGGAGCTCTTGGATTGATACCATGCGGGATGAACTTGAAAAGAAAACAGATTGGAGATGCCTCATATTTGTGGAAAAAAGGCAGGAATTTTTAAACATTATTCATTGATTCATTTATTACACCAAATGTTTCAAAAATCCACTGCCATTGCTCAGAGAAGTAGAAATTATATTTGTTCTCAATACCATATGTAGTGATGATCATTCTTCTTTTTACATTCTTTCTATGCTGCATTTGGGCTTTAAAATGGATTTTGTTATATTGCCCTCCCCTCTGAACCCCCTCCCTCTCTCAGAAAAAGGACTCTTCTTTTATCCTTTACTATTTTTTGACCCCCATCCACACAGAAACAGCCTTATAATTTTACTGTCCATTGTGGTTTCTGTAAAATATAATATATAATGAATTATGATTGATTTATGTTCCTTTTCTCTTTCATTATTGTGAAGCTGATCTTGGTAAGTCTTTCTTGATTATTTAGGGAGCATAAAATTTTCAAGATGGCAGATGATGAGAAGGAGGGATCTGAGACTACTACCCGTGGGGCTGAATGGGAAGTTGTGTCACTTACAGCCTCAACATATGCTGCTGCCCCTGGTCCTGAAGGATTTGAACCAAACAATGATGTGAAGGGGAATGGTGTCTATGGGAATGAAGATGAAGACTCTCGTGCCTTGTTCAGGTCTGGTCACTTTGTATTTCCACCTAGCCAGCATGAAAATCTGCCATTAGAGCCTGATAATAGCGAGATCCATGATGGACCCAGTGGTGAAGACATGCGTTTTAATGAGGAACCTGGAATTGATGTGGAGGAAGGCACTAGATCAAGTGTGAAAAATGAAGACAATTTGGATATCGAAGGGTTGGCGGTACCGGATGATTTGCCTGGGATTCAATTCTTTGATGAAAAGGGTAATAGGTTATCTGTTCATGCCACAGAGTTTGAGGAAGGTACTGCTTTGCAAGGGATAAATTTGGTCCATGAGGAGCAGAGCATATATACCACATCTAAGTTTAGTTCCTTACAAGGTGAAGCAGATATTGGTGGGTCTACTTTGTATGATGACAAAGTAGTTACATCTGACAATGATCCTTCCAAGCGAAGCTTTGGTTCTGCTTCAGATTTGTCAAGGTCATTAGATCCTACAAAAGAAAACAAGTTTAATGGGTCTGGCCTTCCCTGTGAAGCATGGTGGAAGAGACGGGTGGCTTCTTTGTATTCTCATGCAAAGCAGGCAAATGCATTTTGGTCTGTTTTTGTTGCTGCTTCTTTGATGGGTCTGGTAATTCTTGGGCAGCGGTGGCAGCAGGAAAGATGGCAAATTCAACAGCTTAAGTGGCAGTTCAGCATCAGTGATGAGGTATGCTGACAGTTATTGATACGGAATACAGAGCATAATATTATGCTCTTTAGAACAAGATTTGATCACTGGTCATGTTGCTTTCGTACTGGATTTGGACTTACTGACATTTTCTCATTGGCATTTATTTTCTTTATATTTTATGTGCCTAGTTAGCATAACGTTGCATCAATTTCATTTGCTTTACTTAAGATGCTAACTTGCAATATCTAGTCCAAACTTCTATGTTAAGTACTAGAAAGTAGGAAAATATAACTGGGGGAAAAGAACTTTTGACTTCTGTAAATCCTTTCATTATGTTCTCACATTTCAGGAAACTATAAAATTGAACTTTCGATTTCATAGCATGGGCTGAGTGGTATAACACGGGGAACTACATCATATGTATAGCCATGAAGTTTATCCACTGGCTCTATGACAACGTAAAATGTGTTATTGTTGAAGACTAAATATTCTTTTTATATTACTGTTTCTTTTAAAGCATGTGCAAAACTTGGTATTCATATAAAGACAATCCCCAGAGTTTTCTTTTTTCTTTTTCTTTTTTTATTTTTTTTTGGGGGGGAGTGTTTTGAGTCTTTTGGAGCAGATCTGAATGCTGAAAAACCCATTCTAATTTTCTTTTCTTGTTTTTGTTTCATCTTCTACTAATGCCTATTATCTTTGTAATAATTCTTGAGTGGTCATGCAGTTGGTAGAACTGGTTTTTGAATGCTGGATGTTCAGTGACTGCATTTGAGGATCCTGATGGGTTCCTCGGATTGCAGGTATCTCCCTAGAAGCATTTCTCAGCAAATGCAAATAAATTTGGTAAGCAGTAAATCAGCAATTGCATTAAGAGATTACAATCGGGAAGTAGTTGAAATGACACAGATTTCAACTTATAATTCTGCTAGTATCCAAGGTTTTAAATTTTAGAAATCTTGGTTATTACATACCCTTGTCCAAGTAAGTAACATTTCTAAAGTTTAGGGGCTTTAGATGAACTTTTGTTATAAATGTTAATTATTTTTATTTACTATTATTGATATTTTAATATTATAACATTATTCCAAAACATTGGCCTAAATCAGCCCTTTTTACATTTTATGTTGGTGGTTGTATGATTCTATCTAAAACCAAAACTTTGATAATATTCTACCAACATTTAAAACCATGCTAGCATCATGTTTATTAGGAGGAAAGAAGAAGATGAACACACGTGCAATCAATTATTGTTCTTATCAAAGGCCTCCAACTCCTTTGGAAGATTCTCTTATTAAAGTTATTGATAAAAAAAGACTCTCTTATTAAAGTTAGGTATCCAATAAGGGTAGTAATTAAGGAGATATTGGTTGTGGGTTGGGTACAGCCTATAACTAGGGGTGATCATTAATTACCTGGACTGGTCCGGAAATTTCTGGTCCCAGACAACCTTTTTTCTTCCGTGCGCAGCCTGGTGTGGACCCACACATAATGTGGGTTGGGTATAGACCAAACAAACACTACGCTCACTCAACTTGGGCTGGCCTGAAAGTTACGATATATGTATGTATGCTTATTAGTGTATTCCATTCCATACTTGTATATTAAAGACCATATATATCTGCCTTATTATATTCCATATATGTTTCTATTTCCACCCCCTCCGACCCTCCCTTTGAGGTGTGGGAAGCTTCATATTATACCATCTAAATGGAGTGACCGTGGTTCATAGTAATAATAGAGCCAATATGCACAAACATGTATTTGGGTGTTTCAGCTTGATGAACTTCTAATATTTTTACATGGTCATTTTAATGTTTTTTACCATTTAAAAAAGAATTATTGAAAAATCCTTAAAAACAGGTGTATTGTGGAGCTGCCAAACGATATGATTAACGCTTGATACGAAGTGTATCCTATCAAAATTTTGAACCTTGGGTGTGATGCACTCACACCACTCTAACCCAACCTGATGCACACTCAGAGAAAGTGAGAAAAAGTGAGGATCACATTTCCCTCTCTCTAACCAACTTGAAGTAGCTATTAGAAGGGGGCATCACTAGTGCACTACTAACATCCCAACTAGCTGGATAGAAAGTTATCTTAAAATATTGAGTTGATCCACAAGATCAAGTGATCAACCATGAAATCTATCTTTTCTTCAAGGTGATTGATAGAAAAGTTTAGGGGAGAAAAAGAAGAAATTTTCACATGGTATTTATTGATGTTGATTTCATATATTGAATATGAATGTGCTCCTTCAAAGGGTTGGTGCTCGGTGCAGTGGTAAAATATTAAGCTGGTTAAGTGTGAGAGCTCAGGTTTAAGTTCCAGAGCAGCCACTTTGACCAATGTTGTCAAAATCTTATGATTTACGATATGATTCACAATTTGAATCATGAATCCCAAGGGTTTCAATTTGAGGGTGCGTTTGGTTTGTGGACAAGATCGGAATTGGAATCGGAACCAAAATCCCTTGGAATCGAAATTATATTCCTATTGTTGTTGTTTGGTTCATTTGGAGTTGGAATCGGAATCAACTGAAAATTTTTCAATTTTGTATTAGTTTATTTATTATTTTATTATTACTTTATGGATATATAATTATTATTTTACTAATACTTTGTAATTATTAATGATATTTTATTATTATTTTTATTAGTTTATTAACATTCTATTATTTTTTATTTATTATTATTGAATAATTTATATGTTATTATTTTATTATTACTTTAGTTAGATTATATTAATATTTTATTTGTACTTAATTACTATTATTGTCATTATTATTTAATGAATAAATTTTTGCTTTTTATTATTATTTTCTTTGTATTTAGTAATTAATATCTTTGTATTTATCATTAATTTATGAACATTTTATTATAGTACTATTATTTTATTACTATTTTACTAATATTTTGTTAATAGTTTACTAATATTTTATTATTAATATATTCTTACCTTTTATTATTAATAGTATTTTATTATTTTCTTAATATTTGGTTTGAGATTTTTTTTTTAAATTTTTGTTACAAGTTCTTTATTACTTATTAATAGACTCTAGGGTGGGAATCCCATTCTGCCAAGAATGGGAATTGGATTCTGATTCTAGACACTTATTCTTGGAAACCAAATTGACCTTGAATATTATGTCCTAATCCTTTTATGCAAAATTCTGACGACTTTTGTTTAAACCCTACGAATTTTTTTGATTCATAAATTTTATGTTATTTAAGACATTGATTTTATTTTCCATCATATGTAGGTCCTTTTAGTGTATCAGTATTTAACTTTTTGACAAGTTAATAAAATTGTTCACTTATCAAAAAATAAAATAAAAAATCCAGTTACAATGCAATTTCATCAAGGCTCAACAATTGACCTTATTTGTTTGGTTTAGTCATGGATAGGGGTGAGCAAGAAAAACCGAAAAAACCAGCTGAAATCGAATAAAAAATTTGGCTAACCGAACCGATTGGTTCAACATTTTAAAAAAACTGAAGGTATCGGCTCGGTTGCGGTTAACCAAAATAGAAAACCGGTGGTTAACCAAACCTACTGGTATACATATATTTATATATATTATGTATATTTATGTATATTATATATATTTTATATTTTCTATACATTATAAATTAATAAATATGCATTATATATAAACATATGTATATTTATAATATATAATATATTATTTAGTATTTAAAATATAATATTTTATATATATATTTCTAGTGTTTTATTATATACTTATATATTTTTATAATAAAAACTGTAAATAATAAAAAAATGACGAACCAAACAGATGGTGAACCGAACTGGCCAACTGGTTAACCGATCAACTTCAGTTCGGTTTTGGTTATCGGTTTTCCAAAAACCGGTAACCCTGGTTTGGTTTAAAAAATGAGCCCACTATTAACCAAACTGTGAGCATCCCTAGTCATGGAAAGGTTGGCTCAATGTTTTAAAAGCGCAAGGCGCAAGGCGAGCCACGAGCCTTTTTGAAGCAAGGTGCAAAATTTCCAAAAGAAATGCTAAAAAATAAAAAAATCAGAAAATTGAAAAAAATGTCAAAAAAATTAAAAAATGCAAAAAATTCAAAAAATATTAAACATAATGTTAATAATAATATATAAACTTAAATTTTAAAATAAATGTTTTAAAAAACCTATTATCTAAAGTTAAAATACATAAACATAACATGCAAAGCTTATTCAAATGAACATTTAAAAATAAAAGCAAACATATAAAGCATTTTCAAGCATGTAAAACCCAGAATCTCTTTTTTTCCTCAATCGCATTACTTCAAGAAGCTAATGTGATGTAAAACATATTGCAATCTTGATTCTATGAGTCACCTTTGTACTACGCCTCTCGAGGCAAGCCCGAACCAGTCCATGTTAGGGTCTTAAATTCTTATTTCTCACATAAAAATAATGATTTTATAACTTTAGTTGCCTTTTAAGAAGATATATTGGAATGAATGAATGGATAACATTAGCAGATAGGATTCATAAAAAAAAAAAATAGCAGATAGGGGGTTCTCGGAGCTTCAGTGAGTGAGCAAAGCAAGCGAATTTTAAAAAGGCGCACAGCTGGGCTGAGGTTTGAAAGGGGTGCACCTAGGACCTGGACGAGGCACATACCCTAAAATGTGACTCGCCTGTGTGCCTAGGCGTGCCTTTTAAATCACTGGGTTGGCTAAGCATGTGCAGCAGGAGGTTATGGGGTATGTTGTTTTCTGATAACATAGTATTAATTTATGAAACTAGAGTGTATTAACTGTAAAATTAGATATGGAGAAAATTGAGAGATGGTCTAGAATCTTATTTAAGAACCAGCTGTCACACCTTAGAATGTTATTAGCCTGGTTTGAAGTGGTGTCTGGGCTGTGGGTAAACTTTTCAGAAGAGTGAATTATTTATGGTAGGTATTACTTAGATGTCCAAGACTTGGTGGCTGAGCTGGGCTGCAAGGTACGCAGCTAACCTGCAAAATATTTGGGCCTTCCTATTGGAGCAAAATGTACTTCCAAATCCATTTGGTAGCCAGTGGTTGAAAGGCTGGAAAAGAGATTAGCTGGATGGAAGTCCAAGTACCTGTAATGGTGCTAAATTGACATTTTTAAAAAGTTCTCTAGTTAAAAAAAAAAAATCTTCCCACCTTGTCTTTATTCCCAATTCCTGCTGGTGTAGCAGACAGATTGGAAAAGTTAAGAGAGGGATTTTCTGTGGAGTGGCAAATATGGGGAATATAAAATCCATCAGGTTCAGTGGGATAGGGTGTGTAGTACTTTGGAGGTCAGAGGCCTAGGGGTGAGGAATGTGAGGCAAATGAGTTTAGCCCTCCTAGACAGATGGTTCTGGTTACTCAATGCACAACCTCAAAATCTATTGCGGAAGTTAATAGTGGAATAATTTGGTTTCAGCAATGATGGTTGGGACCCAGGCAGATCTTTTGCTTCCTTTGTCTGTTCCATCTGGAAAGGTATAGATAAGGTACACTCGAACTTCTTGAGGGGGATGAAATTAAAAATAGGTGATGGCAGTAGGGTCTGTTTTTGGCAAGACATTTGGTGCGACAATAGGGCACAAATGGAGGAATATCCATCCCTATTTTTAATAGTAGAAGACAGGAGTGCTAGGGTGGCTGATCTTTGGGAAATAGTGGGCAGGGAAGGATTATGGCGCCCAAGGTTTGGGAGGCAGTTGAACGAATGGAAGATTGAAGACCTGACTAGATTGTTGCTACAGCTTCAAGAGTATAAACTGTCCCAAAACCAGTCTGATGAAAGACTTTGGAAGTGGTCTAAGGATAGAAAATTTACAGTCAAGTCTTTCTACAAAAATTCTAGCTGAAGGGAGGGAGTCTAATTATCTAAAGTCCAGCTAGCTAGAAGGGGCATGGGGTTGGAATCTCTGGAATGCTCGATGTGCAGTCAGGTAGAAGAATCAGTGGATCATTTGTTCCTGCATTGTAGGGCTGTGGTTTTGCTTTTCAACCATTTCTGTAAGCTTCTTAATGTCAGTTGGTGTCTTCCAAGGAATTTGTGCAATCTACTGAAAGCCTGGAAGCTGGTGGAGCTGAACAAGAGGGGTAAAGAGCTGTGGGGTATGATTCCCCTAGTAATCAACTGGATTATTTGAAAGAAAAGGAACTGTAAGGTGTTTGGGTCCAAGGGGAGCTCTGATGATGATGTGTTGCATTGGGCTACAGCAACTATACACCCATGGCTGTCAGTACGTGAGCAGTTCAGAGGTCTACTGCATCATCAGTTTTTTGATCCTAGTATTTTTTTTTGATCAGTGAATTGTAAGATTTATTAATTCATAGCCAAAGATGGTACATTTTAGGGAGAGGCACAAGATGCTACCTCCCCTTTAAGGAGGGGAGATGGAGGAAACCATCAGCCCTTTAGTTACTAAACATAACAATGGACAAAGAAAATTACAGAGAAGCCCAACAAGGAGACCCGAGTAGCCCCTTGTTTAGCAAGATAATCAGCCAAGGCATTATCCGATCTACCCAACCACTGAAATCTGACTGTCATGTCCCTCAATAGCCATTTGACCTTTTTTAAGATATCCTTAAACTCCCAAGTGACAGTACCCGGGTCAGCCAACCATCCTACTACCACCTTGGAATCTCCTTCAATTATTAAGTTCTGCACTCCAAGTTGATAAGCAATCTGTATCCCTTGTGCCGCAGCTAGGAGTTCAGCCCTCACAGAGTTTCCTATTCCCACCGGTCCCGAGAAAATGGCAATGATATTCCTGTTCTCATTTCTCAGTACACCACCAATCCCAGATAGTCCTGGGTTACCCTGACTACTTCCATCAAAGTTCAGCTTAACAAAACCCTCTATTGGTGGAGTCCAAGTTACTTGAACTCTAGGCTTCCTAGAGGAGGTGAGGGCAACTGCAGACCAATTCCCCATTAAATCATCAAAGGAGTAATTATCAAAGAACTTTAAGGATTTCAGCCACAAAATAGTCCTTGTAAGAATACAGTCCTTGACCTCAAGAATGCTTCTTTCCTTGTCCTGAAAAATTTTGGAATTTCTCTCTTCCCAAATAGTCCATAGGAGAGCTGCCTTATACACTTCAACATAATTCTCCCTCTTCTTGTGGTCCACACAAAGGTAGATGGGGAAAACAACAAATTTACCTCAGCTGGCAAGTTCCACCTGCACTCAAACAAATCAAAAACCCAGTTCCAAATGGCTGCAGCAAAAGGACAAGAAATCAATAAGTGGTAACAGTCCTCAAACTGTGCTTTGCACAAAATACACCAGTTAGGGGTAAACACAAAAAGGGTCTTTTCTTCTACAGGTTATTCATCGTATTGATTTTACCATAGAAAAATTCCCAACAAAACACAGCTATCTTTGGGGGAATAGGCCTAGACCAAACTTCCTTAACTGGGAAAGCCCAAGGAGAGGAACTAGAGTAAAGGGAATTGAAGAAAGATGCACAAGTAAACGACCCTTTTGGAGTCAAAGTCCAAATCCTCCTATCAGACTTGAGTGGGTCCAAACAAACAGAATCAAGTAACAATAAGAGCTCAAAAGCTGATAAGGATTCCTCATCCCTCAACCCTCTATGGAAGCCAAGGTCCCAATTTGTAGACAAAGGGGCATACGGGGACAAAATAAAGGAAGACAGGTTCTTTTTTATAAAGGGAAATGGAGAAGAGAGAGGGGAACAAGTCCTTAAGAGGCAAATTTCCCACCCAAGTGTCTTCCCAGAAAAGAACATGAGTCCTAGAGTACGCATCATACCTTACAAAGCGGAGGAATTGGGGGAGGATGCCATGAATTGCCTTCCAAGGTGTTGCAAGAGTTGCCCGCCTGGATACCCCTGCATCCCAACCATTTCCGAAACAGCCATGGATACTCGCCACCACTGCATGCCATAACCTCTCCCTCTCTAAAGGTCATCTCCACAACCACTTACCTCGAAGAGCTACATTTTTATAAACAATATTCCCTAATCCTACTCCTCCTTCCTCCTTGCTTCGACTATCTCCCACCTAATCAAATGATCTTTCTTCTCTTGCCCCGGCTCTCACAAGAAATCCCTCATCATCTTCTCTATCTTTTTAGCTTCCCTAGTAGGAATCTTAAAGACGGACAAAAAGTAAACCTGTAAATTAGCAAGTGTGGATTTGATAAAAGTCACTCTACCCCCCACAGAGATATAATTCTTTTTCCAGCTTGCCAATTTCTTTCCAAACTTTTCCACAATGAGGTTCCAAAAACAGCTCTCCTTTGGGTTAGCTCCTAGGGGAAGACCTAGATAAGTTAAGGGCTAGGACGAGGTGGAGCACTCTAAGCAATCTGCAGTGGCCTCCAATTCTTGATCATCCATAATGACTCCAACCCCACAACTTTTTTCAAAGTTGATTTTCAAATTTGAGGCCTTTTCAAAGAAATTTATTAAGTTCTTAAGGTTCCTAACCTTCCTCAAATCACTACCTTAACAAAAGATTATAGTATCATCCGCAAACTAAAGGTGAGTTGCAGGCACACTACTTCTCTCTATTCTCCAAACCACTCACTATCCCTCCCTATCTGCTTTTGAAATCAATCTACTTAACGCATCAGCAACAAGAGTGAATAGAAAGGGGGAGAGAAGATCCTAGTATTTTATTTTGCTAATGTGTAAAGCTTTCACTGGAGTATTTCCCTACGGGAGGGGTCTTTTTGGGTTTTGTTTTAGGGGTCTGGCTTCATTTGGCCCTAGAAATGTATAGTTCCTGGCTGTACATGCTAGCTATAAGGCTCACTCTTGTATTTTGATAGTGGAGATCAATACAATACCTTACCTTTCTCTCAAAAAAGAGATGGTCTAGAGTCTAGATGTTTAAAACTATGTAGGGCTAAATCCGAATATATGCATTGTAAATTTATTAATAACAAGAGTAAGAACCAGGGTACAATTAGGATTGGAGATCAAGAAATACCTCAATATGACCTTTTTTGTTACCTTGGTTCATAATTCATGACAAGGGGGATATCAAGGAAGATTGTTGCCCATAGAATTGGAGCAGGATGGGAGATATGGAGGGCTATGTTTGAAGTTGTGTCACCAAAAAACACCTCAATGTGATCTCTTTCATTACATTGGTCTGATAATTTACAACATCAGGGGGAGATTAAAGAGGACGCCTCCTATAGAATAGAGCAGGATGGGATAAATGGAGGGGTGTGGATTGAAAAAAAAAAAGAAAAGGTAAAAAAGAAAAAAAATGGTGGTTTTTGCTAGTTAATCAGCATTCGACCATGTTATTTTAGTGTCTTTTCTTTTCTAGTTGATTACACAAAACCTTTTATTCATAAACATGAAGGTTGGTACGCAGGAGATTTTTCCTATCCATGAAGTGTTTAATGGACATGGGCATAGGAATCAGAACCCAATGCATGTCCAAGGTAAAAAATGTAATGTTACAGGGAGGTGACCCTCAAGAGTCCATGAAATCTGACGCATGCATAACATGGATATGTCATCTGGGGTTGCAAGTTGGGTTGCCTGAGTTAAGAATTTCAACTACATCAGGCTCGGTCCATTCAAAACTTCACAAATGTTCAACCTAACCCAACCCAAGTTGCACATCCAATGTTGTCCATTTAGGAGAGCCATTGCACGTGTGCAACATGTAGGTTGGGACCAGAAGATTGATCCAAGATGAAGACATTTTTAGGCTAGTGTACTTAGTAGGATGCGAGTTGTAACTCCTGCATGCCTTTTCTGCTGAGTTGGTATAACAATTGTGAGCGTAGAACCTTTACTGTAAAGTTGTATTATCAGTCTTCTGTTACAGTGTTGAGCACTATCCGTCCTTTCTTGAATGCTAACGCCGTCTCCTTTTGATTTCTTTTGACTAAATATATTGGCAGAAGATGAACCGAATGCTGGGTCCAATTTCTCGATTTAAAGATGTGATTGTGGGTGGCCATCGTCGGGGTTCAGCGATCAAGGGCAGCACTGCCGCCGAGCGTTAGGATGATGACGAAAAAAGAGGGGGGGAGGGGGTGATATGCTGTTCATTCTCTTATTCTTCTAACTGTAAGATACATCTATTCCGTTGACATGATATTATTTATCATGGTTCAGTTATTATTGTGCTTAGCAGTGGGCACTTTGGTATATAACTGTTTTACTTGCAAAGCCTTGGGATTTATGGAGAAACAAAAAAAAAAACTTTTACTGGATGAAGGGTCTTTTTCTTCGCTGGTGGGTGATTGGCATAATGGCATGATGGAGACATCTCGTCTGGTTGGTTGATCGGAAAACTTGTGTATGGAAGCACGATTTTATTAGAGAGAAAGAAAACCAACGTGCAATGTCTAGTCGATCAACCTACTTTTTTTTCCGATCGACCAAAATATACCTCTGCTCCACATTTTCCTGTCAAGTTACTGTTCAAAAAATCATCGTTATGTGGGTCAATCACAATTCGCCACCTCAGTTTCATAAACCAGAGTCAATAAGCAAAAGAACATCGTAGCTGGTTCATTATCGAAGGTTCAAAGTGTTGATATGTCACATGTCCAATACAATGTGTATCATATCTGGGTAAGGTGCCCGGTATCCGGGGGGGTGGGGCAATGGGATCACTCTAAGGGGACATTCTTTCTTTTTTTTTTTGATTTTGAGAGGGGGAAAGTAGGTCAATGGGATTTTGGTTCTTATTGACCAAGAATCCCATGTTCTTTTTCAGATTTATGTGGTGATCAGGGAATGTTTATTTTCCCGAGTTGAGTATCACTTACTACTACCTATCTCTTAGGTGGGTAAATAACTTTTTCACCTAGGGGGAAAGTTGTCAATACTTGAATGAGACAAAAATGCTCTTTTTAAAAATGAATTCTATTCCATCACATTGGCGGAATATCTGTCTTTTCAATTTTTGATAAACTTTACTGCCTGTCATTTTTTTGTCCCTTATTTGTGGCAATGGGATCCTCACAAGCAAAAGATCTGTACATACTCTAAGGGGACATTCTTTTTTTTTTGGGATTTTGAGAGGGGGGAAAGTAGTCAATGGGCTTTTGGTTCTCATTGACCAAGAATCCCATGTTCTTTTTTTTAGATTTATGTGAAGATCAGGGAATGTTTATTTTCCTGAGTTGAGTATCACTTACTACCTATCTCCTAGGTGGGTAAATAACTTTCCCACCTAAGGGGAAAGTTGTCAACACTTGAATGAGACAAAAATGCCCTTTTCAATAATGAATTTTTATGGATGAAATGGTCATTGCCTTATTTATATGAGAAATAAAAGAACATGGGTAAATGCACATACCCGGGTAAATGTTTCTTCGGAAAAACTTACCCAGGTACCTGCATTTATCCAAGTATGTAACTTACCAAAAAACGAATGAGGCCTAAAAGTATGAACACTCAGCTGCACATTAGAAACATCTCTTTATGAATTTAACATATATGCATAGAAGATAGTTTTGATGTAGGGTTGAATGTTGTGTGCGCAAAGTTTCTGTTTGCAGGGGATCCTGACTCCAATTTGAATTTTACGTTCATTTAGAGATGGTCCCTAGCTAGGAATAAGAAAGAGGAAGAGCTGAAGAGGTGGTGCGGTGGTAATTTTTCATTTGATCATTCATGTTCAATTGATAAATGTGTTTTGGGGTTTCAATTGCAAAAACATGGTGATTTGTGATTATTTTTGATAAATGGAAAATATGAAATCATTCCTGAGGATGAAAGAAACAACAAAACAATGTTATAAGATCGAATTGGACAAGGTAATCAATGAACTGATGACCAATCCACTTTTTAGTTTTTTTTCCTCTTTTACCACAAAAAACCGTCTAACCTGGGCAAACCGTTGTAAAGTGTAAACTATTCCAAATTTTAGTAATTCAACTGCTTGTCAATGACTTTCTACTTTGCTAGGAGGGTCACTATTTCATGATGTGTTGTGTGACAATGAAGAGAATCAAATACTATTAAAAGTGGGAACGAAGTCTAGATTTTGGATTTTTTATTCAATAAAATACCTCTATTTTGAATTTGATTCCTCTTTATTGGCAGGGCAAAAATGTAATTTGAACTACTATTAGTAAATTCATTCTATTCCCCTCATAAGTCTTATTTCTAAGATATTAACTCATATTCCCTTTCATTAGACTTTTCTACACCTCCATTTTTTTAAAAAGCCCCATGGCTTAATGGTTTGAATGTTTACTTCTTTTAAGAGTATAAAACAATTATTGGAAGACCTGTTGAGGAAACTATAAAAGCATTTTTCCATTCTGATAAAATGTCAAAGGGCATAAATAAAAATTTTATCACCCTTATTCTAAAGATTGATAACCCAGGAAGAGTGGAAAATTTTAAGCCAATAAGCCTTTGTAACACTATTTATAAAATAATAGCTAAAATATTAGTAAAAAGATTGAAACCTCTACTGGAGACAAATAATTGACAATATTTTGGTGGCCAATGAGATGATAAATTCCATCAAAAGGGTTGATGGCCTACAAAATTGACATGAAAAAATTATATGATAGATTGGAATGGAAATCATTGTAAGTACTCTAATAAAGCTAGGGTTCAGTGGAAAATGGGTAAACTGGATAATGCAATGTATTACTTCCGTTACGTATTAAATCCTCATAAATGGGACCCCAACTAAATCATTTACACTTGCTATGGGTATCAAACAGGGGAATCCCTTGTCTCCTTATATATTTGTGCTATGCAGTGAGGCTCTTTGCAGAATGATATGCAAAAGGAATGTGGAAAATAAGAAGAATTTAGGATTCAAAGCTTCAAAGGGTGGGCCTAATATTCCAATTCTGCAATTTACAGATGACTGTTTTACTTTTGCAAAAGCAAACATTGGAGAATGCAACAAAAATTAAAAAAGAAAGAAATCAGAGGCTCATTATATGCAGGTGCATCTGAACAATGTTTGAGTTTCATTAAATGGAGCATTTACTTTTCCTAAAATATTCATAGTCGGATTCAGAGGCTCATTTCTGGAATTCTCAAGATTGCCATAGACAAAAAGAAAGAAATCTATCTGGAGGCCCCGCTCATTGAGGGTAGAGTCACTAAGGACACATTCAAGAGGGTAATGGATAATGTGAACAAAAAATTGGCGGGTTGGAAAATGAATTCTTTATCCATTACTGGTAGAATAACTTTAATTAAATCTTCAATTGGAATGATGCCCCAATTTCTAATGAGAGTGTTCAAGCTACCCAAAACAGTAATTGAAAATATAGAAAGAAAGCAGAAAAGATTCCTTTGGAAACAAAATGATTCTAAGGGCAACAATTTAGTCAAATGGGAGTCGGTGTGCAGATCAACAGTTAATGGTGAATGGGGGATTAAGAGATTGAATTGGGTAAATGCTGTTTGCATTTCAAAATTGGATTAGAAGATCCTCACACAACCAAATAATCTTTGGGTTAGAGTGGTGAAACATAAGTATCTAAGGAGAGAGTTTTTAAATGATAAATCCAAAGAAGAATGCATCCTGGGCCTGAAGAGGTATCCTAGAATTTAGAGATATCCTAAAACAGGGGATAGGATGGAAGTTAGGAAATGGAAAACCTATTCCATTTAATAAATCTATTCTGGGCCTGAAGAGGTGCCCAGAATAGATGGAATAAATCTAAAATTCTGGAAAGAGTTCCCATATCATTATGGAATAAAATTCGAGCAATCCCCATACCCAATCATAACAAAGAGGATAGTATGGTATGGAAACCCAACTCAAAGAGGTTAGTTTCAATTAAATCAGCATACAAATTAATGGAAATGAGTCAGGGAGAAACCAATGTGAATCATAGATTAAATCATATTTGGAAGCTTATTTGTACCCCAAGAATCTAATTTTTTTTTTATGTCTCATGCTTTGTAACAGTTTATTATCCAAAAATAGATTGAGAAATTGGGGTATGACAAGTGATGCTAACTGCCCCTTTTTGTGGTGAAGAGGAAGATGTGAATCATCTATTCCTTCACTGCGTGGAATCAAATCAAGTATTGGCTACCCTCAGTGAAAACATTCCCATCTCTGTTTTGAATGAAAACATTAAAAAAAAAAGGTGGGATAGAGTGGATATTTATGGAACCAAAACAGTGCGAGTATTGCACTGTGGAACATTTGGAAAAGGCCTAATGAAAAAATATTAACCGGTATGGAGCTTAGTGGATAAAACCAGATATGATTATGTGGAAACCATGAATGTAAGCCCCCCTATAACTCAAACAGGAAACATGGAGACAACATTTTGGTGAGATAAATGAAACCAAACAACGACTTGCAGGGTGTTTGGTTCCGTATAGGCATTATTTTGGTAGTTCCTCTTTCTTGCTCTTTCATACGCATTGAGAATGGTAAAAGTGAACTTTGGTTTTTGTGCACACCTATTGGTTGAGGAAGTTATTTTTTTAAAACTTCTATAAGCGGTTAGGCATTTTTAAATTATTACACTAATATGGTGCCTAGTGGCATCTAATTGTCATAAATAATTGTAATTATTACCTTTCTCGGTTTTGCAAACAAATAAAATAAAAATATTAAACGAAAAAATGTAAACAGAACCAAACACATACTTAATTAAGATAAACTTTGATGCATCAAGGAGGGCAGATGATAGGTGTGTATTGGGATAATAATGAGAGAGAATAGAGGTCGAGTATTATAGGTAAGTTGCAATGACATTGGGGAATGCTCGATTAATGAAGCTGAAGCATGGGCGGCAGTGAAAGCGCATCTCTTTGTGGCTCGTTTCAAGCAGTGCAGGTTTATTAGTGGAGAAGACTCAACCATTAATATTGTCAACAGCTTACATGGGTGTATGGATCCCCCTTGGAATGTGCCATTTCATCTGTGATTGCTAGGAAATTGGCACCCGCAGTGGACTCCAGATTACATATGAGAGCACGCGTGCAGACAAGGGAGCTTTGCTGCTAACAGATTGACAACCTTAGGTTATTCAACGGAGATCTCTAATTCCTATTTGTCTTACCCATCTCTTGTTAATATTTGTTTTTTGGATGCCTGGGGAAATGTAATTTAAAGGACTATTACTTTTCACTTTTCAATTTTCTATCATTAAGCTGTTAATTATCATTTTCTCTTCTTACATCTTTTATTTGTGGTATTTTTGTTTCTCATCAAAATATTCTATTGATTAAATTTATATCCAATAATTTTAATCTATACTACTATAAAAAGTACGAATAAAATTTATTTTCTAAGATTTTTTGACTAAAATACCCTTCTTTTTAAAATATGGTCCCTCTTAATTGTGAGGCCAAAAAGTATATTTAAATTTTTTGTGAAAAGGAAGAGCAGAAATGGTGGGTAGCTTGGCCCTTAACATCACTCAAACAAATGAAAACTAATTCAGAAGGAAGAACACAAAGATTAAGCAGATGAAGCATCTATGAGATAAAGTTTCACACACCAACTAGTCTGTCACTTGATTTGCTTCCATAAATGCATGCTTGTACACCATGCCATACTCGATAGCTTCAACAAGTCCGGAACACTCCTCCATGATGGTTTTTAATCTCCATGGGTTCTGACGTTGATTTTTTAGAAAATTTTGAGAAATCGGCTTTGAGTCTGTTTGGTACTAATTTTCAAATGCCGATTGTTTTTGTATTAGAGTTATTATTTAATGTCATGTTGGGTGCTATGTCATCCTCAAAAAATAGGAATTAGTTAAAAATCAGGAAATCACCAAAAAAAAGGTGATCCTTGAAAATGGCTGATTTCAATAATTGATTTTTGGTTGATTTCTTAGAAATCGGCATAATCGACCAACTAAACAAAAAAAAAACATTGATTCTTCAAATCCTGATGTGGACCCTACATGGCATCGATTTATGGGAAATCATCATCGGTGCCAAACATCACCTAAATTCATTCAATTCCCTTTCATTAAGTTCCACATTTAGGCTGTATTTGGTTTGGAGGAAAAAGTATGGAAAGGTAGGGAAACCTATATAAGGTTTGTAAAGGTTTCCCTACATTTCCCTTACTTTCCCTACTTTTTCCTTCAAATTAAACATATTATTAAGGTATTACCTTTTACTTTCCCTCTTTGAATTATAAATCCAAGGCATTTTTGTTTTTCATCACCAAATTCCGCTAATTAAATCAACACAATAATTTTAGTAATATAAAAAACTTATATTTTTAAAATCAACCCAAAAACAAAACCGTATTTTCATCTAGGTGACGGTAAGAAGTTCAATCATTTTGGGTCAAATGAGCCAATCCATGATGTCATAATTAAACAATAAAAATTTAAAAAGTAAATAAGATACAAAAATATAAAAAACAAAGAAAATTTGTAAAAAATTTTGGGCACATCTATGATCAATAAAAAATATTTTTATTAATGATGAAAATGGAACATAAAATTTAAAGTCAATTAGAAATGAATCATTTTGTAATTCGCTCTGATTAAGTCACATATATAAAAGGTATATTTGTTTCTCATCATTAAATTCTATTAATTAAATTTACAACATTAATTTTAATAGTATAAAAATCAATATTTTAAAAAGTAACCTAAAAAAAATTTTCTTCCTTTCTAGTGGTGGGTAAGCAACTCAATCATTTGGGTCAAATGGGTTAACCAATAGTACCATAATTATATAATAAAAAATTAAAAATACATATAAATAAAATATAAAAATATAGAAAATAAAAAAAATCGAGCATATCTCTAATATTATATATTCATCATATTAAACAAAAATGAGCATGATGTGTATAAAGTATTTTTATTAATGATATTCAAATTTGAATTCAACCTAAAAATGAAATGATATCATAGTCAAATAATAAAATTTAAAAAATGAAAATACAAACAATCAAATAAAAATTTGGGCACATTTTGATGTTATATATTTATAAAAAGTAAAAAAAAATGGTTATGTCTCTAATGTTATATATTGATAATGTTAAACAAAAATAATTATTACACATAAAAAGTAATTTTATTAACGATGGAAATAGAATGCAAAATTGAGAATATATTTAATATTGTAAATTCATTATATTAAACAAAAAATATGTGTGAAAAATGAGTTCTATTATTATTAAAGATGAAATTAAAGGGCTAAAAGTACAAAAAAAAACATCATATTTTGCTTTGAAATTAGATTTTTTTAAAAGCGTATATGGCTGAGTGGAATGATCTTTCTTGATGCAGGTGCTTTCTTCTCCTGGGTTCTCCTCTTAACTTTACCATCTAATTATCTAGGGGTAAAGATGATGACCACCAAATTCAGAAAAGAATTTAAGAGGACTATTATTTTTTCAGAGATCAAAAATTAAAAGTTGAAAATCACCGGTGGAGAAAGTTTAATTGAAACTTTCTGGATGGAAAGTCAAACCCCTTTCTCAAGTAGGAAGGATTGTCCTCCTAAAATCAAAATTAGAGAGCATTCCTAGATCTTTATCACATGCATTCCCTTTGAAAAAAAATGGTGGGTTGATTGTGATAATGCAAAAAGAAATATCATCTCATTTCATGGTCCTCTCTTCTTCAACCCAAAGAAAAAGATGGTTTAATTGGGGTTTTGTAATGCTCAGAGAAGAAATGTTGTCTCATTTTGAAGCTAGATTGGAAATTTCTTATTGAACCTATGCATGTATCTATTCATTCAGGTGCTCGTGCTACATGCCAAGCATGGCTGTTCCTTATGGACTGTTAAACAAACTGGAAGCATCTCTTAACATGGTAAAGTATGTTGAAATGTCAAGATTCTATGAAGAAAAGGTTGTGAATGGTTTATAAGGGATATGATCATGGTTAGAATGTTGATGTCTATACAAACCCTTGGCTGCGCTTGGTGGCTATCAATTGGAGAACAATAATCTTGATATGAATACTTACAAAGTGGTTGCATTAATTGACTATGCTGAGATGTGTTGGAATCCACAAGCTCTATCTTGCCACCACTATAAGAAAAATGGTGGGCTAAAGGCCGGTAGAAATAATATTTTATAGCGGCAGTCGTTTAACTAGAGAGTATAACGACTGCCGCTAATAACTTTCCCTCCTCTTTCATTTTCCCACTCTCTTCCCGCCTTCTCTCTCTCTCTCTCACTTTTCTACTATCCATACCGGTGGAGTTTGTCTTAGATTTCCACCGAGTAGAACCAATCGGTGACTTCAATGTTAGTGGTTGATTCAGTCTTTCACCACAGCATTGAACCAATGCCTCGAAGGACAAATTAGAGGTAGGTTCCTTCTTGACTCTCCTTTTGTTGTTAACCATTTAGTTTGGCAGAAATTTTCAATTAGGTCATATGAAATAGGTGCTGATCCAACTGTGTCTTTAGAGACGGTGATGAACCATTTACAGGTTAAACCGAATATCCATTTTCCTTTTATTTGGTTCTAGAAAAACCATTTCTTCATGGTGTGGGCAATAAAAATTAAAATTATGTGTCATTGCATACACCATGTGTATATTTCTTTCTTCCTTTCTTGTTTTGCAAGTGAATACATATTTGACTTCTCATGTCTGTGGGACTCCTAGGTGGTGGTTTTGGTTCAATTCCGGAAATGAGTAGAAGGAACCTTATATGGGTGGTTACTAAAATGCAGGTTGTTGTGGAACGTTATCCTACTTGGTAAGATATATGCCTGGATAATTCCTAGTTCACATGTTTGTTGTCTTCTTTCTCCCTGTGTTTTTCTTTTCTTGGTATTTGAATCATCGTCCCTCTGTTTAATTAGAAAAAAAAAATGCAAGGGATTCAATATGAGGAATCACTTTAGGATGGATTCTATGTTCTGTCCATACAGAGGGATAAGTTTTGCTTGTTTTCCTCCATGGTTTGTCGTGTCCCATATCTTTGTATTGTTTGGTGGAAGGTACAAAGTGCAAGCTGCAAACTAGGGTTATTCTGATGCTATTTTAACTGTAAATTGGAGTTTGACCTAACATCTTGACTTTGCTCAGTTATATGTGCTTGTGATTTTGGTAATTGGTACCCAAGTCCTGGCTTCAAACCTCAACTTTAAGTACTGGATTAGCTTTTTAGCTAACTGTTCAAGTAAACTCAAGCCAGTTGCATCTCTCTTCCCCTGTTCTCTCCTAGGTAAGTTCCACCCATGACAATCTGGATGTAGGGAGTTAATTGGATCTCTATTGTTTTGATCAGTAACAAGTTGATTATTTATTTATTTATTTATTTTTGAAGTCCGGCTGTGTAGATCATGTAGTCAATAGATGCTAGGAGTTCCTATACTGGATAAAATTTCTATTGGTGTTAAAACAGATTATTTGAGTTCCAACTCTCAATATTTCAACCTAATAAGTCTTTTGTTGGATTGATTACTATTTCTCACTAATGATATGTTGGTGCTATCCAAGATTTTAGTTTTAAATGGGGTTGTTGTGGCTGACTTGATATTTGGTGGTTGGTACTCTTTCTTTGGCTTTATACAGTGTGTGGGTGATGATGAATAAGCAAACAAGAAAGTTATCTAAAATTCCAGAGGAGGTCAGAGGGGAGATAGAACCTTATTATATTGACTCTGCTCCACTGAGTGAAAGACAATGGTATGCTTTGCAGAGTGCTTCTTCCATGGATTGAAAACTGGATTTCTTCTTCCATTGTTGCTTTCCCTTTTTCTGTCTGCACCAGTAGGCTACTACTCTATATCTGATGAGATCTAGAATCATACTCATACTAATTCTAACAACTCCTTCAGTTAATGCCATGAGTCCTATGACCAATAAAGGGGAGCTAGCATGTTAGATAAGAATCAAGAGTGGTATGCCATTGCTAGAAAGGAGAAAATACAGGTTTGTTTATATTTTTATTTGGTTATCATGCTATATGGCAACAGTTCTGACATCTAGATTTTCTTATCTTTTATTGATTTATAGGCTATATTAGTTTCTTATGACATAGATCATGTCTTAGTCTTTAAGTTGAACATTAAGGGAGAGTCATTAAAAAAAATTTGTGAAATTCCTTGAGAACTTTCCCCCAACTTTTTGAATTTTTCTATCTTGTGAAGATCTGCCCTTATTATGATAATGTGTCCTCTACCCCCACCCAAAACATCTCTCATTATGATAATGTGGTCTAGGAGTTCCCATTGACCACCCTCTTGTACTAAGGCAAGCATCAATCTAAGCCCTTGATGATTTTCCAATAAACACTTCATTCCCATAATTCAAAGTTGAGGGCCCACCATTAAATGTGTAGGCAACAAGGAGAGCAGGTAGATCCACTTAAAAGCCTTCAATGCCATGAATTATATGGTTGGAGTTCATTCTGTGTTTTGCTACAGAGTTCAGAAACTCCTTTGGACAAGACCCATACAGTAATCGGTCCCTTTTTTGTGTTGTTTAGGCAACCTAGAGGAAGAAGATACTCTTGAGGAAGCCTTAATCTTCCAAATCCATACACAGAGGTGGGGAAGGGAGGGGGGGGGGGCAGATTGCTCCCAAGTCAAGACCAAACGACAGCTGCTATGAAAATTGGGGTTCTGATCAAGGTGGTCCTACTGAATTGAAGAATAAGGGCAACTTGAACATTACACCTTGCTGTTGAACCATGCAACTATATATAAATATTATTCCAAGCTATGCAGACCAACTGACCATGTCATAGAGCTGTTATTAATTTAATCAGATTTTTTTAGGAAAGTTAGTTAAATGGTTAAGATCACTTAAGAGTTTTCAATCAAGTTGGCCATAAAGGTTTTATGTTCTCATTAATAATTTCATTTTGAATGTAATTACAATTGTTCATAACTAATCTTCTATTGCTAAAATTCTAGAAAAAAAGGAGAAAATAAATTTTGCCTTCTATCTCAGTTGCTCTTTGCTAGTTTAGCCGTAAAAACTAAGCAAAGACCAAACACACTTTGCATTTTTTACTAGGTTGTTTGGGTTTAGCTCTATTGGTTTATTCTTACTCTTAGGCTTAGGGGGATTTTTGTCTTTATACTTAGCATTACCAAGATACTATTCTTTGAGGGTGACTTGCATGACTAAGGTGGTGTAAAATTGTGTTGCTCCCAAAGAGAAAGGAAACAGAAAGACTAACATTGCTTGTATGAAAAACCATCACCAGGGAAGCCAACTGATTAGAAATTGGCTACATCCCAATAGAAAACTCCTCATCAAGATGAGACATCCATACAAAAACATCAGCTATATAATACTTTGTATCAATAGTCCACCTGGTCAATGAAAACCATGTATTAGTACGCCCGATGCAAAGTTTACTCATTTCAAAGAAATAAAATATTTAAGTCTCCCCCCACCTTTTGGTACAAAATGTAAGAAAAAATGAGTATAAAAGGCAGGGAGTAGCCCTTCTCCTACTTTCATCTAAGTGGGGGATCACCCTCAAACATTTAAAGTACTGCCTTAAGTGGAGTGTTTCCTTTTTGTTCTTTCTCTTCTACCTTTTTAGCAAGCAAAAAATATAGTTTGTCTTGGTCATTCTGATTTTCACTTGTAAGTACTGTCTTAAGTGGTTTGTATGTATTATAAAAGGCTATGATTCACCAGTAGCATTTGTATCTCCTTTTACTCATGTATTATTGGTTGTTTCCATAATTTAGTTCTTTTTATCTTTTTTAGATCCATAACCATGATTTTTTGTTCTTCTCCCTTCTTCTTGCCATTATTTAAATGTCTTAAGAGAAAAACTAAATTAGCTTTGAATTTTTAAACTCCACATTTCAGTTTTTCAGAAGTATGTATTTGCTCATCATCATCATTTAAACCTTTTCCCAAATTTATTGGGTTGGCTGGAAAATTTCTACCAACATGGATAAATGAATAAATATTCTTTTGATCGGTAAATAAATAAATATATTTTTTCTTGGCAAGTATATAAATATACTTTACTATCTGTAAAGACAACCTTCTACYAGCCAATGCAAGAAAGACAAACTTGAAACTGTTGGAAACAGTAACACATGAAAAGAAAAACATCTTGTGACAAAAAAAAAAAA